TAATTTCGATGAAAACCCAATATGTATTTAACTTCTGAGATAGTTTAGGTCTTAAAGAATCCTATGAAATTTACTAAATGTGTCTAGCATTATTAATAGAGCAAGTTCAATAGTTTAAATATCTAGCCCCAATTAATTCCTCGATGTTAAAATGTATTATGTATTATGTAATATTTTATTTTGTTAATAAAAAAATTTGAATTATTTATTATAATTTAATTATCTCCGTAAATTATTTATCAATTTTAATTTAAAAAACGGGAAAATCAAGATATTACACACATCATAGTAACCCACACTTATGACTTAAAAGCTTCAGATATCGGCGAAAAATTTTTCCCCTTTTTTTTTAACCAGAATGGACTAAGAAATGAGGTGTAATTTATAATTATTTCGTATAAAAATACTTTTACAAAAAATATATCTCTAAATAGGACGATAAAATATCGTTTACTTTAATTTGGTATTTGGACGCTGTATTATGGGATTTTTAACGTTATTGACTGCTACTACCCTTATAGTTATATTCATGCACTTACACGACAACAAATATGCGAGGGTATGATGCTGACTAGCAGCTGAAGAGCTGTTATGTTCATCTACTCTTGGATTCTAGTAACGTGCCTCCGAGCTGTTCTATTGATTCCGTCTTTGACAATGTATCTCTAACTATGTATTTAAATTGCAAACACAAATTTGTTGTAAATATGTATAGGTATAAATTATTCAAATTGACTTGAAACAAGAAACAAAGCGAATAATGTAGAACTCTGTTTATTGAGATCTTGATTGTATGGCGTTTGATTTAAGCTTTTCTTCTAATTATTTATTAAGTATGCCAAGCCAAGGAGTTGCACATTAATTAGATAGTTTTTTTTCACAGATTTGGAGTATTGCAGACTTGTGAAAAAATTGAATCTTTATCAAATCGTAATTTTTAGCGAACGGTAATCTTTCTAATCACGTATTATATAGTTGTGTTACTATTTAAATGGGAATAAGCCACAATTAAAGGTTAAAGTAAGTTTATTGACGTTTCAATTTCCACTTCGAAAATCGTTCTCAAAATACGAACATTAAATTAAACAAATTTTGTTTTTTTGTTACTTGGTGAAAAAATTCTTCTATTAATTTAATTTTATCTGACTCACTTAAATTGACAATTCAGACTATTATAAATTTTTAAGTAGACTTTACAATGATATTGCCAATATTGGTGAGTTGCGTTCCTGGGACGACTTTTTTGTAAGATAGTTCATTCGATTATATAAAATTAACTTTAACCTGAGAATATCCGTCAGAAAAAATCATAGCATGTAATTCATTTTTAAAAAGACAACCACATGCCATGAGTGATTCTTCTTTGCAGTTTAGCAGTTTGGTTGTCCCTCACAATTTGGATTTAATGACCCAAGTAATCATATTTATGAACTAATATCCTATTCCGTCGCAGTCGACTTTTGGATTTTCGCTTGGTACCAGATTTGTCGTGCATTGTGCCTTTCAAAAATTTATATTTAAATCAACTTTATTACAAGCAACATTTAACTCAATAAGCATAGTTCGAATCTTTTTAAGTTGTCTATTGTTGTTGTTGTTGTTTGTTTGTGTTTAAATGACTGCGGACACTAAATCCATTCGCCAATCTTACAATTTGAGGTGTAGTGTGTGTGTGTGTGTGTGTGTGTGTGTGTGTGTGTGTGTGTGTGTGTGTGTGTGTGTGTGTGTGTGTGTGTGTGTGTGTGTGTGTGTGTGTGTGTGTGTGTGTGTGTGTGTGTGTGTGTGTGTGTGTGTGTGTGTGTGTGTGTGTGTGTGTGTGTGTGTGTGTGTGTGTGTGTGTGTGTGTGTGTGTGTGTGTGTGTGTGTGTGTGTGTGTGTGTGTGTGTGTGTGTGTGTGTGTGTGTGTGTGTGTGTGTGTGTGTGTGTGTAGAGTAATTGTCTTGATACTTAGCAAAGTCGACGTCATTGTCTTTGCTAAGAGACGCTAATTGTATCCGAACGTCTGCGGTCCCTCCGGTGTGTACCGATCACACAAGGATAGAAATTATTTTCATTTATTAATTTTTTTAATAAACGAAAATTTCCACCCAGGTGGGATTCGAACTCATGACCTTTAGGTTTAAAGGCAGGCGCTCTTACCATTGAGCCACAGAGGGGTTAAAGATTATCTAAGAGATTAGTATAAGAGATCTATTATCAGAATAATGTCGTCCGTAAATCATAGGTGAAAGAGAATTTTATTGTCGACATTTATTCCTTTGGCTTTCCACTACAGTTTTTTAATAGCATGTTCCATCTTCTTCTTTGAGTACCGTGCTCAAGTTTTAGGCGTGGGTCGCTTCCTTGACCATGTGCCGATATCGTTCTCGATCTTGCGTGGCATGTAATAATTCATCTGCTGATAAGCCAGTCCATTGACGAAGCATGTTCCAGAACTGATTTAAAGAGTTTTAGCGATAACTTATCGCCCTATTTAATTCCTCTTTTGATTTTCATACATTTTGTATTATTGTATAGTCTTACGGTAATTATTGCGTTAATGTATATATTTGCGATCAGTTTGAAGTATCGACAATCTATGCAACTTTCCTCCAATGTTCTTATTACGCTGGTAATTTCTGTCGTAGGGAGTGCTTTGCGAAATACTACGAAAGCCAGTACCAATGACCGGTAGTGTTTGATAGATTTTTTTATAATGCCTTTTATGCAGTGCAGGTAATCGTTAGTGTCAACGTTTTTCCTAAAACCTGTCTGTTTCCTGGGTTGGTAGGTAAAAATCTAAGAAGAGGAAATATATTTATTGTATATTTTTTCATTCTTTGATCTTAGTTTTTTAAAAATCCCTGCTAATAAATCTATACTTTCATAGGTTCCTGCTCATACGTCCCCACATCTTATATTCCATGTCTCAATTTTTACTATTTCCTTAGATTATTGCCCTTCTTTTCAACACAACAATCTGCTCTATGAAAATGAGAGACTGTTTGAGAGATGGAGGCAATACATGGGAGAATTATTCAAGGAAGAGCAAGACACAAAAGTCAGTGTTTCTGGATGTTCAGGACCAGAAATAACACTCGGTAAAGTACCATGTGCAATAAAAAGACTAACAAAGCACCTGGACCTGATAACATACAAGCTAACATATTGAAACTATTTGAAAACAACCAACTAAAACTCCTAACGAATATACTGAACAAAATCTATGAAACTGCAGAATTTCCTACAGATTGGCTAGTTTCCACCTTCATCCATTTCCCCAAAAAAGCAAATGTCACCATATGCTCTGATTACAGAATTATAAGCTTAATGAGCCATAGACTCAAAATCCTTTTTTCTGTTATTTACTCTCTCTATTTTCCATACAAGTATTGATATAAAGAGCTCGAGACGTAAACTTCAAAGTCTACGTATGCTTTATATACTTTGAAAAAGCATTTGACAAGGTGCAACATCAAAAATTATTTCAGATACTGAAAGAATTTAGTATTGATGATAAAGATTTACGCCTAATTAAAAATTTATACTTAAAGTAAAGGACAAATGTACGAGTAGACAACGAAACCTCACAAGAATTCACGATAAAACGGGGAGTACGTCATGGGCTGCATTTTGTCATGGACGTTGTTCAATACTTACTCGGAAATTCTGTTCAGAAAATCTCTTGATGGTTTAAGAGAAGGTAATCAATGGTGAAATCATAAACAATTTAAAATATGCGGACGATAGGTTTTAATTATTGCTGATAATGAGGAGGATCTGCAAACATTAATAGACCGTGTAGAGGAAGCCTGTGACAGATACGGCATGAAATTAAACTGTAAGAAGACCGAAATTCTTGTAATAAGTAACATCGACGTAATACAGCATCAACTCACAGCTAACAATGAACATTTGAAAATAGTCTACAACATTACATATCTTGGAAGCAGCCTAAATAAGGAATGGGACCACTCACAGGAAATAAAATGTCGTATAAAAAAGGCCAGCGCTGTTTTTAATCGTCTCAGGAAGATTTTATGTAATATACACCTAAACATTGATATAAGAACACGAATCTTGAGATGCTATGTATTTTCTAACCTTTTATATGGAATCGAAGGCTGGACCTTGACGGAGGCAATATCTAAACGATTAGAAGCTTTCGAAATGTGGTGCTACCGCCGCATGCTCGGAATTTCCTATATCCATCATGTTACAAACAACACCGTGATCCAACGTATGAATAAAGATCTGGAAATTATGCGTGTCATGAAAACCAGAAAGATGGCATACTTAGGGCATGTGATGCGCAATGAGAAGTACCAACTAATTCAACTAATTTTACAATACAAGATAGAAGACAAAATATCTCAAGAGCGCAGAAGGACGTCGTGGTTGAAGAACATCAGACAATGGGCAGGAATGACTACCATACATCTATTTAAAGCAGCTGTCAACAAAGTTGTACAGGTGTTATAAAAATTGCCCCTACAATTCTTCTGATATATGCTTTCAAGCTTTCCTTTAGTATCATACTATGTATCTATTCTTAATTCCGATATTATCAACCTTTTCTTTTTATTTGTTTTCGTTAGTTGTTCTATTCTGTCTTGTGATTCTTTTACTTAATTTTTAAATTTTCGCTTTTCTTCCTTTATCTTCTTTGGTTGTTTATTACTTTCAGTTTGTTATTGGACTGAAGCTATTTTCTTGTGACACTTTAATGCAATGTATTATTTATTAGAATTTAAATTAAAATTGCGACTTATCCCCAACAAAAATAACAAATTTCAGTTTGTTTTATCTCATTTATCATCATCTTCATTTTTATCCATTACTTTTTGTATCATTTTAATTTTTAATTTTAATTTTAATTACGATATAAATATGTCGAAAACTTAAAGCATCGAACGTATTTCGATTGTACTGGCCTATTGAATATATTAACATCTCAAGTTTTTTCAAATCTTTTTCAGTACTACCAAAGCTTTAAAATCTTAACAACAAGCAGAGGCTTCCTCTTTGCTTCGGCTTCAATTCATACTGATTGAGGCGTGTACCTGAGAGTTTTTACTGTTTTAGAAAGTTTATTTTTTAATCAGTTTTTATACATAGTGCTATTAAAAGTAAGTATTAATTTAAAATTATCTCGTAACAATTTCTTAAATTATACAAAGATATATATCTAATTTTTAGTTTTGTTTCAATATTTGCCGGTATATTTTGTAGTGTATAAATGCCAAATTTAATTAAAATACCTCAATTTTTTTTATGTAATATCATTTCGCCACGTGTTAACCTTTTCCTTTTTTGCATTTAATTCCTGTTCATATTTATCAAATAATTTTCGCTATCCATGCTTTATTATTTAATTTATACTATTATAAAGCTCAAGAAAGCTTGTTCTTTCATTGTTAACTTGGCACGCATTAATTTTTTTCTTTGTCTTTGATTCCTTTGTTCATTCAACTAAAGAGTCCATTTTGTGAGTCCGCTCCCGTAAGAAAAATGTTTTTGATTCAGCTTCTTTGCGGATTTTTGTTCAAAAATGTCCCCTTTAAACAAATCTAAATGGTACCGGTTGAAACTATTGGGCAGAAATAGTTTAAACAATTTTTAGTTGTTTAAACAAATTTCAAAAATCACCTTTTTGATTCAAAAAATATTGTTTTAAATTTTTTGTATTACTTTAGGCATAAAAGGTTTTCTTGTTAATTTTCTCCAAAGTTTTCTCTCAATAAATTATTATTTTTGAAGTTTCCAAATTTTACATTGAAGTTTAAACTTTAAGTTTCAAGATTCTTAAGAGCAATTGGAGCTTATTTCAATTTATACTTTTATTTTTTAATTTGTTAGTATGCACGTCCACTCGATTTACGCCAAAAAATCCCAACAAATACTGTTATTTAATAAAATTTTCTAATTTATTATTAACATAGTTAATTGTGAAATTTATTATGTAGTATTGTTACAAAATTTTTCGTATGTATAATGCGGTAGATGTGATACTACGTCCAGTTTTTTTACTTGTAGAGAAAAAAGTACTTTATCTTTGAAAAAAAGTGCTAATGATTTGCAAATATTTTTAAGGCCTATGTGGGGAATAAATTAATGGAGTTTCGCTGTTTTACCAAAAATTACTTCATATGAAGTAGATAGTAGTTTCGATTAGTAGGACTTAGGAGACCTCGAAAAAGAATTTACTTAATAAGGACTTCTGGTTAATGTGATAACTTGGGTATACATATCAAGTGGCTTCGTTTAGAGATTTGGGATTTTCCAGATTATCATCCAATACCTAATCCTAGAGTTTAAAAAGCTGCATGATCAAGGACAGATCCATAATGAGGAATAATGTATTCAGGGGCTGGAAGTAAACACTTTTTCTTCTTTCTGGTCCGTACTGCGGTGACATCAAGTGGACGCGCATTATTAACAACTAAAAAACAACGGACTTAATTGAAATAAACTCTGATTGCTCTTTAGAATTTTGAAACTTTAGTTTAGGTATTTAGAAACATCAAAAATAATAATTTACATAACATTTTCAAGCCTCGAAAATGTATACTTTTGTATTTTTCAAATTTTAAATCGCTTATAACATAAACTAGAAACATGACAAGAGACATTTTTTGTTTAAAACGACAAAAAAAACTTAAGTAAATAAAGGTGATTTTTTGAATTTGTATAAAAAAATTGATTTTACAATTTCTGCTTTATAATTTCGGGCAGCTCCGTTCAGATTTTTTTAACGGGAACATTTTTAAACAAGAATCCGCAAAGAAATCGAATCAGAAACATTGTTCCTACGGGACCGTTTTCACAACATGGACTAACATATTTTTCAGTATTCATGCACTTTAATTTAAAGTCCAGAGTAATTTTCTGTTAGTATATACGTATTGTAAGAAAACCACGTTTTCTGCAAAAATTGCGGAGTTGTTTTTTAATTATTACCAATTTAGTGAGAAAAATGTGACTTTTTTTCAAATTTTCGTTTACCAATGAAAAGAATAAAAAGGTATCCATTTTTATTTAATTATAAACATTTTATCTGTTAAGACATAAAAAAACCTTCAAAATGGCGTATTCCAATTTTTTGTTTTAAATGAATTTGTTGCTTAAAAACGGCAAAGTCGTTAATTTTTATTAGTTTTGGTAAAAATTAAGTTGTTTTTCATCTCTTGGCAAATAAAATGTTTATATTGAGGTATATATAGATACCTTTATATTAGTACGGAAAATTAGAAAAAACAATCTCATTTTTCGCAATGATTGTCAATAATTAAAAACGATGCTGAACTTACTGCAGAAAAATTAGAGAATTTCTTATGATAGGTATGTATTAACTGAAAATTCGTCAAATATTTAGCTATTTTGAAGTCCCTGGACCATTATCAAGTTAAAATAATTTATATTGTCAACCCACCAAGTGATAACTTTTTTTGACTGTATTTCACGCTCATTCAGCTACACTCTTTACGGTGTTTATCAACTTGTGATTCAATTCATACTATTTAACGTGTATTTATGTGTATTTATAAAACATATCTAATTGTTTTTGTATTTCACTTTATTTTATATAAAGTAGTTTTTTATGCAAGTTTGGTATAAAAACTTTTATCAGTGAGACTCCTTTAAAGCAACACTTTCATTCTAAAAATTTTCATTAAATTTTCATTCATTTTCATTTTCAAAAGTTCATTCTCAGCTCTTTGTTCTAGCTTTTTACATTTTTATATTTCCGATATTCATTAAATAATAGATTTACATCCATTTTTCTTTCTTAAAACAAAAGATGTTATTTTCTTCAATGTTTTTCATTATAAAAATTTCTTAATATACCTATAAAAGGTATATATTATATTATATATTAATTTTTGTGATATATGGTATACAGCCACCTACATGAATTCAGTTTCCTTGTGGTTTTTAATTTAACGGTATGGTCAACTTGGCTCCTCAGTAATGCGCTTAGCCACTAAAAGATGCACTCTGAAGCTAGATATTTGGTTTTTCTCCCAATGTATAAAATAATCAAGTCTTCCCTACTTGTTGTTCGATTAAAACCCCAGAAAATGTTCCAGTCAACTTAAAGAACACCTTCCAACAAAAAATTTTGGAAAAGGAGATTTGTAAACATTACAGCAATCTTAACTACATAGATTTTAGACTTAAGGTAATGTATGACTCTCTACTTGATTTCGTGGACTTTGTATTAATATATACCTTTTATAAAGGAATTTTTAAATAATTTATTTGTGATACATGGTATAGATGGAATTTAGTTTCCTCGTGGAGTTTTACATTGTATTATATAAAGGAACTATTTTTTGTTTATATTCTTTGAATCAGTCTGAAAATGACGTGTTTTTGTTGAGATATGATCCATGTACAATTTAGCTTTTTATCTACGTGTTTATAATCTTTAATTTCACATATTTATTATTCAGCTTTTATTTACTTCTACAAGTTTTAAAGGAAAATACTTCTTTATTGCCAACCTTTATTCTAGAGGTTTTCAATCGCAGTTAAAACTCTGTTCCGTCCTTAGTTTGTCCATCTCCTTATTGGAAGTCCCAGAAAGAACTAATCTATCTTGGTTCGTTATTGCAATATGTTTTTTTTATTGTAGCATGTTTTGTTATATTTTTTATTCGTCTAAAATATATTTAATTAGGCCTTTACATCCATCTTTCTGATTTGGTCTCTAAAGATACATCTTGTTGTTTTCCTAAAAAAGTTCATTTAGGTTTTCTCTTTTTACCCTGTACCGTCTAAATTGATCAAAATATGTGCTGCCATTACCTCATATAATTTAATTTTTGTTTCGTTTTTTATTTTCTATCTTTCGTTAAATGACTTTCTAAAGCTAAACTAATATGGTGGGATTATTATCTTCTCTTCGATGACGATCGTAAGTCTTTTCATTAGGATATTTTTAGATAATTTTGAAAGTACAGGCAATATTGAAATAGGCCTATAGGATAAACCTCATTTAGCGGATTTCCTGGCTTTTCAATTATTATAACTTCTGTCATTTTCCACATATTTGGGAATACAATTTAGTGTAAATGAGGCATTATATAAGTCTGTAAGCTTAGTGATGGCTTTCTTTGTTAAGTGTTTTAATATTTTGCCTGTTATTAGATCGAACCCTGGAGCTTTTTTGGGATCGATATTCTCTTTTATTTTTTTGAAATTTCTTTGATATCGGTAGGTTTAATTTCCAATAAATCTATTTCAAAACTATTCACATTGACCAAGTCACTTCCTTTGTTTGGTTGAAACGTGTTTTTGAGACGCTGTGCTGGTTTTTTACGCATTAGTTCAAGCAAAGGTTCAATTACCGTTTCTGATTGGTGGGCTATGTAGTATAGGTCTTTTGGATCGTTTGGTGGCCTTCCGAAGAGAATATTTACTACTTTTTCAGCTATTAAGTCGCTAAGGTATGTCCTAATCAATTCATTTTTGATACGTTGTACTTGTCTTGTTCTTGGGCGATTTGGTTTACCATTTGCGACATAATTTTCTTATTTCAGAAATCAGAGTCCTAATTTCTTTCGAATAATTTTCTCCTTCTGTCCTTATGTTGATAATTGGAGTGCTGTTCCATGCTGCTTGCTGAATCTGTTTGGGTATCTTGTTCAAACGTATCGACAGATTAACTGAGTCTTTTAGTTCATTTCTGAAGTTCTGTCCTTGTATTTACCAGTCTAGGGGTCTCTTTCCGTATTATTTCGTCACTAAGTTTAAGAAAAATGGGGAATGATCCAAAATTAGAGGCAATATTCTTGATTATAAAAAAGTTAATCAGTTTAAAAATTCTACACTAATTCGTTGGCCAATAGGTTGGCTTTCCTGTCGATAACACTTCATAGTTCAATTGTCTGCAAGCTTTTGCGAGCTCTCTTACTTTAGTGGTGGTTAATCTTTATCTTCCTTTAATATGTTTTGTATTGTAATCACCTCCGATGATGAATCTACTTTCTTGGAAGTTCAAAAATGTCGTTTACAAATCTGACTATGTTTTATGTTTTGGCAGGCAGTATATAGCTAAATCTACTAGGTCATAGGTCGTAATTTTGATTTTCTCAGCTGTGGTTTCATTTCTTCTATTTCCTATTTCAACTCCTGTTGTTGTTTGCTTTGTTTTATAATTATTGCGCTTCCTCCTTTGGCTGTATTTCCTGAGTAGATTGTGTGGTATACCTGATATTCTTTAGACTTGATGTATGTGTCTTTAGTAAAGTGTATTTTGGTGATAAGGCATATATCAATCTTTCTATATCAAGTACAGTTTGCAATTCTTGTTGGTGTTTCAGAAGGCCATTGGCATTATATTGCAAAATTCTTAGGTGTCTAGCCTTAGATTATTTTGAAGATGACTAAAAAGTAATCTGACTTAATGTCGTTTCCTGTTGGAACATTCCTGCGCTAGTGGGTTCAGTTTTGTATTTGTAATGACATATTTTGAATCCTCTTACACACCATGTATGTACATTTATATAAAGATTCTCTAAATTTGACCTTGTTCTTTAAAATTGTTTAAGTTAATTAGTATAAAAATTATTTCAGGTGAGAAACTATGAAGTCTGCAGTACTTCTTTTAGCCGTGATTACGGCCACTAGAGCAAATATGTTTAATCCTTTGGAAAGTATATCTGATTTAACCAAGAAGGCTGCTGATGCAGTAGAAGGCCTAACAAAAACAATCGGGGAAGGCAGTAAAACACCTATACCCGACTCTCTAAAAGTTCCTAGGAAGACAATACCGGAACTAGTCCAAGCTGAAGGGTATCCAGTAGAAAGTCATTATCTTACCACTCAAGATGGCTATATTCTAAATATCTACAGGTAAGATCTCTTTAACATTTTTTCAAATAACTGTAACCTGGATAGCCTAGTACTATCCTTGTAATTTAGAAATTGTTTCTTTGCTTTCTTTTTAACTTAATTTATATATCCATTGTGATCTTAACTTTTATTCCGCCATTATGTTTGTTTTTACTTGTTTTTTTAATGTATTTAGTTTTTTAGAAAGATTTATCCATCCCATTTCATAATTGATTTTTTATATATCCCCGGTATATTTCGTTTTATTCTTTTTTATAGTTTATTTTAGTCATCATTGATAGACATGTTTAGTAATATTAGTTATTTTTCTTCTTCTTCTCCTTTTTATATAGACATGACTCTGTTTTTCAATGTGCCTCCAGTAAGTTGTCATTCCATCATTTTCATGGTCTTCCTACTGATCGTCTTCCTATTGGGGAACCGTCTTTTGCCGTCTTTACTACTCTATTTGTTGTCATTCAGCTTATATGATCGTTTCATTCTACTCTTCTATTTCTTACTCTACTTCACTTTCTTTACTTACTTACTTTATCGTGTCCGGACATGTCATTCATAAAATTTCGGCCCATTATCGGACTACGTCGGTTCCATCTTTGTTGGCGAGCCACATATCTTCAAGGGTACATCGATGAGGACAATTTCTGCATGTAAGAAGATGTTCCATATTCTGTGTTTCTCCACAGTCACAGTTCACATCATCTTGGTCTATTTTTCCCTTGCCTTGTTTGATTTCACTGTAGCAATCCCCGTTCTTATCCTATTCACGGTTTTCCACGTTTTAAAGTCTAGGGTCTGGCCGGTCCATTGAACCTGGGGAAGTGGAAAATACTCAGGCGGTTCATCCTGCACTGTTCCAAGGAAGCTTTTCCTAGATTTTAGTCGCTTTCGTGGTGTTCGAGCTTTGTATAGGGCATGCCGATCGTCCGCGATCTGTGCACAGTGCCTGTGCCGTTGTTCTTAAAACGCCAGGACGTGCGCCCCATTTACTTCCCATTAGCTTTGTGAGTATGCTGTTCCTAGTTGTTACTTTCCCTCTTGTTTTTATGCAATGTTGTCTGTAAGTGAAATACCGGTCCAGAGTTACTCCAAGATTTATAGGTTGGTTTGTGTGTTCTAATGCATTACCATTCCACACAATTTGGAGTTTTCGCTTGGCTTCCTTTGTGCGAAGGTGGAAAGCGCAGACTTGGGTTTTAGAGGGATTGGGTCTCAGAGAATTCTGCAGGTAGTACGCTGTCATTGTTTTTAAGGCAGTTTCGAGTTTCTCCTCCACTTCTTCAAAACTATTTCCTTGAGCACATATTGCAAGATCGTCAGCATAGAGGAAGTGCTTGGTTTCGGTTGGAGTAGGTTGGTCGTTTGTGTATATATTGAAGAGCATTGGTGTTAAAAAACTTCCCTGTGGGAGGCCGTTTTTTCGAACTCTCCACCTACTTGCTTTACCCTCCAGCATAACGAAAAAACGTCTATTTTGCAGTAAGGAATATACGACCTTTCCTAGATGGTGGTCATTGAGAGTGTCGTATAATTTGCGGAGCAATGTTTTGTGCTTTACTGTGTCATAGGCTGCTGTCAGATCTACAAAAGCAGCCCCTGTTATAAGTTTTTCTTCAAAGCCCTCTTAAATGTGTTCTGTTAATGCGAGGACTTGACCAGTGCAAGATTTGCCAGGTCTGAATCCTCCTTGTTGTGGGATGAGGTGCTTGTCGACATTTTTTTCTATTCTGGCGAGTATGAGTCTCTCGTATAGTTTAAAAAAGTGACACAATAGCGAAATAGGTCTGTAGCTACTGGGATCTTCTGGATCCTTTCCTGGTTTTAAGGATGGTATTTCTTACCCAGTTTTTGATGTTGTCCACCTTGCATCTATGACGTATATCTGTACTTCTAGCTCTGTCCAATAGTGTCTTACCATCAATTTTTCTACGTATTTTCATCTCTGCTGTTTCTAACATCCTTTCTGTCTTCTTTGTGTCAGCTTTTGTTTCTGTCGCGTATGTTATTATTGGTCTGATGACTGTAAATTATGCCTTTCGTTTCTTTCCCAATATTTTTATTTCTCCATATTGTTTCATTTGGGCAGCCTGCAGCCCTGTTTGCTCTGTTCACTTAATCTTCCACTTCGGTTTTGAGCTTTCCGTAGCTAGATCATGTGATGCCTAGATATTTGAACCCCATCACTTGTTCTATTATCTGAACTTCCAGCTCCAGTTAACATCTTAGTAAATTTGATGTTGTAACCATGCATTTTGTCTTTTTTTGGTAAAATTAACATATTGCGTCTTCTGCATAGCAGATTGTTTAAATTTGTTTTTCACCCATTTGGTTTCCTTTTTTAGCTCTTACTTTTTCTATTATTTCATCAATAATCAAATTGAACAATAAAGGACTCAGGGAATCTCTCTGTTTTATCCAATTGCCAGCTTCAATAGGGTCGGTCAGTTTTTCTTTGATTTTTACTTTTATTGTGTTGTTTTGGTAGATATTTTCGATCGGTTTGATTATTACTAGAGGTATCTCTTTTGCATATAGTAAAGATGCCTTTGTAAGTTCTACGAAACATAGATATGCCGGTTTGTTGTATTCTAATGATTTCTCTTGCACTTGCCACATTATAAATATAGCGTCGCGTCGGTTCATGACATTCCGGGCCTAAAACCTTGTTGTTAATTACTCTGTAAGTTTCCGGGTCCGATTTGTCTCCTCTTTTTAAAGAGAGGTATTAGGATGGTTGATCTCCATTCTTAAAGAATTCTGTTTTAATTTATTATTTTTTGGATTAGTTTTAATAGTTGTTTGGTCAGATCCTCAGTATCTTGGGAGTTTGTTCGATATTTTGTCCTCTCCTAGTGATTTTCTATTTTTTAAATTTCTTAATGCTTCCCTTACCTCTTCCTCCTCAATATGTATTTCTTCGTTTGTCGTCACCCCTGGTGCTTGATTGCCTATTCAATCGTTAAAATCCCCAATACTATCATCTTTCCTCTAACATAATCTACTACTTGTTGTAATTGGTCGTAAAATGCTTCCCTTGTTGTTTGAGGCTTGTTATTTTCTGGGCTGTATACTCCGATGCTATTCAGGTCTTCCTTCTCCATTATCTTTGCTGTTACTATTCTTTCTAATATGTATTGACACTCTTTAATGTGATTGGTACTTTTGGTGTATTAGTAAGGCTACACCTTCTTTGGCCCTGTTTTGTTCTGCTACTCCACCGCAGATTAGCGTGTACTCACCTAATTTTGATTGACCTTTTCCTTTCTTTTTTGTTTCCTCTATATTTATATCTATTTATACATGCTATGAGCCACTAAAATATATGGTTAAAAAATTACGTATTATTAAAAATAAGATGTTCAAGTTACCGTTGGAATTGGTAACATGGCGACGTATTACTCTACATAAGGTTACTTGGTCCTGAGACTTGGAGGACCTGTTAATAACAACTCTGTTAATAACCAGTTAGCGTTAGTTGATTTTTAGCGTTTTCTGTCGAAGCTATCTTCAGTTTTTAAATCTCTGGCCATCAGTGAATCTTCGACATCTATTCATGACCGTCTTGGTCTACTTCGCTTTCTTCTAGTTGGCGAAGCCCTTTTTTTTATCTTTTCTGGCCATCTGTGTTTAGGAGTTCTCTGCAGGTTAACTAAAATATGGTCCATAGTCTATTTGATTCCGTATTGCGTTTTGTGTTCACTGCTGAAGTCCAGATGCATAATCTTCATGGAAATAATTGAAGCCTAATATTTGCTTACCATATGGTTTTGTATTTTGGAACTTCATTATCATTCATTTGGCCCGATAATCCTTTGTGAATCGTGGTCTGCTCTAAGATTTGTTGTCATTTTGTTTTGTTTCTAGCGACCTGTCGCCATCTTTTGCTTTTTGAGTCGCCATTTCTAACTAGGTTTAAATTACAGCTTAACACCTAATTCGCAGTCGGCCTTTGCTTCTTTTTCCTAGTCCTATAAGTATTTCTGTGATTAGCTTTTTAGCAATCGCGTTGTCTGGCATTCGTATTATGTGTCCAGCACATCTAGTCGTTGTCTTTTATTGAACGTTACATTTTGGAACTTGCTTCTGTCTATTTTAGCTTTGAAGTAGCTTGAGGCAATGTTAATGTCTTGTTTTTTTGGTAATTTTATAAGTTTTTGTAAATCTCTATACCATTCCTTAAGTAAGTCATGTGGTTTATCTGTGTTTGGTGCATAAACCTAAATATTAATTTTAAATCGGACTCTTCTTATTTAAAACATGATTACTCTTTCGTAGAGAGTTACAAAATTTGAAAATGCATCTTTCTTAGTGTAAATTACACTCGATTGCAGTTTAATAACGGTGATGTCAAATTAGATTTCAAATGTTTAATTATCTTATGCTTTTTCTGCTGGTTAGTTAATTTTGAATTAAGGTATGTGCAGGTAATATGGCCACCGTAAGAACTTTTCTCCGTATTTGTGGCCAAATATATTTTTTTTAAAGAGTAACTGTTATTACAGTTACATGGGTTATACTTTTTCAAAAATTGATAAAAATATGATATTTATGACTTACTTAAAAAAATACTGCTATTGGCCATATTACCAACATGGTGTCGCCAATATGGCTACTCTACAGAAAGTAAATTTTTATATCTAATTATGAAGCTTAACACAAAATAGAATAAAATAGTTTCAGATTTTTTAAGAGTTTTATTACATGTTAAGCAAATACAGTACAGAAACTTAATATTGTCTTATTTTTCACAATCAGGGCATAAGAACGTATCAATTTTGTCTTTAGCTGTGAGACCCATGCACTCTTCGTGGATATAAGTGCTACATACGCTACACAGTCTCATATCTACCATCTTGTCTTCCTTGCATAATTTGCAGAACCAAGATTTTTGTTTTTTTGTTCCCTTTTTCTTAGCAGGCAAGGTCTTAAATTTGTTTTTTGGATTGGGTTATTTTCGTAGCATTGACGAGACTCTTTTACCATCTGTAGTATGCGTATTGGCTTTAATATTTTCTGAATCACTTTTTTCAATACATCTACCGAATAAATCTTTAGTAACAACTTGGGCTCGACTGTTGATAGCTGGTTTTCTAGGCTTTTTGTTATCGTTCTTTATTGCTGCATTTTCAGGTGTTTCGAGCATAATTGTGAATGAAGTATTTTGGATGTTTGAGAAATCACTGTGATCGTCTTCTGAATCAATCAACTTTATCACTGCTAGAATCATGCAAACTAAAGGATAAGTCAGAGTTGCTACTATCAGTGTCTAGAAATGGTTTTTCCGGGCGATTCTTCGGTTGAAAATCCGAAGTAGAGGGACGACAAGAGTTACTAGGATCAGCGACCAGACATACTTCTTTTGAGCTATTTTTCGGTTGTAATCCCAAAGTAGAATGACAACAATAATATTTTTGTTGAATGCCTGAAGTTGATGGCATGGATAAATCATCTGCTTTATTACAAGCGTTAGTTTCTGATAATGTGACATTCTCTTTATCTTCCTGATGTTGGTATGTGATACTACTAGGGGCAAACGCTATCTCTGGGATAGCTTCTGGGTTGAATGGATAAATTCCCGTTGAAAAAAACCCCGATTTTATATTAGATGGTGTCATTGTTTTGTCCCAAACTGTAGAAAAATTGCTCCCAAATCTCTGTTTGGTAATAACACGATCGCTATGAATAGAATAATATTTGATAACTTCATCTTCCCAGTAATATTCAAAGGCTCTAAATACAGCTTTGTCCATTGGTTGGAGCTCGTGATTAGTATTACTAGGTAAACAGTATAGAGTAATTTCGTATCTTTTGGCAGTTTCTACAATAGTGTGATCCAAATGGCATCTTGCACCATCAAATATGATAATACATGGACCAGCAACCTTAACTTTTGAAAAGTGTTGAAGCCAAACTGAAAACGTTTCAATATTCATGCTACCTTTTGCAGTCATTTGAAGAACAGCACCTGGAGGTAGTGAGTCAACCCATTCTGGCTTACTACGTTTACCCTTAAAAAGTACCATTTGGAGGGATTGCTGTACTGAGAGCATTACCACAAGAAACAATGGTAACACTTTCTCCATCTTCGTTTGCAACAAAATGTACTCTTCTAGCCCCTTTTTGCGCCAAAACTTTCTGCTGGTGGTGAAGTGGTAACCTGCAACCTTTCTCGTCTACATTATTTATCCGTTCGGGCTTATTAAGTATGTCCATTTCTCTTAAAATACCTTCCAGCTTAGTAAAATGATCTTTTACAATAAATTTATTAAGCTTTTGTGTTCTAGCCGGATTTAAGTTTTGTGTTTTCCTAGGTCTGATTTGAGGATTGCGCTTCATAAAACCACGTAGCCAATAACGACCAGCTATTCCTTTGCTTTCTTGAAAAGGATTTGGGATATTATTGAGTTCTGTAAACCGATATACACACTTACAAAGTACCCTTGCAGTAAGTGGATATCCAATTTGCGAAAGACGGATAATACGTTGAACTAATTCTGTTTCTTGGGCATTTGTAAGTATAGTCTTTCGCCCTAGATAAGACTTTACTTGTTTTTCCTCTTCTAAATATCGTCGAAGTGTCCGCCTTGGGATGTGATATGTACGATTAGCTGTGTTAACTGCGGTCCCATTTTCCATCGCTCTTAAAGCTGCTGACAAATTTTCTTCCGTCCAGTTGCCTCGTAGGCCCCTGCGCTGATACTGGGGCATTTTTTATTTCTGTAATAAAAGAAATAATATCAATACAGCAAACAAAATATGTATTGTAGAGTAATATGGCCACGTAAGATAAATATGGCCATGACCATATAACATTAATTTTCACCTGGCCATATTACTCAACACTGTATTTTGATATTTTGTCTAAGAAAAAATGTATTAAATCAAAATTTATACAATAAAATAAGAACATGTACATGATTTTAAAGGTATACGAAACAAAGTACAATTAATATATTAAAAACTTACCTATTAGATTCAGTTAAGATTTTTTTAAAAATTACCAAATTAATAACCAACTTCTGCAATGACGAGTTTTCACAACAGTGATGGTTCTGACGTATAGAGAATGTGGCACCATCTGTTTAACAATTATTACTATGCTAATATCAAGAGTTCTACTGTTTAAACATAAAAATAGTAAGACATTTGTTGGATGGGCGTATTACTGTATATGGCCATATTACCTACATCTACCTTACACTTTTTCCTCGCATTTATCTATTATTAAATTTTAGTTTGAATTAAAAAACAACTTTTACTTTTTAGAATTCCTTATGGAAAAACTGACAAAAAACCAACAAAAGTGGTAATACTGCAGCACGGACTTTTGGCATGTTGTACAGACTGGATCTTATTCGGTAAAGAACGAGGTCTGGCTTATATCCTCGCTGATCAAGGATTTGATGTTTGGCTAGCAAACTGCAGAGGTAACTATTATTCAAGGAATCATACCAAACTCAACCCCGACAAAGATGCAGAATTTTGGGACTTCAGTTGGCATGAAATTGGTATGTACGATATCCCTGCCATGATTGATTATATTCTTAAAGAAACTAAACAGGAAAAACTGTATCATGTCGGACACTCTCAAGGTAAATATAAAGACAATATTAAACTACATTCCACTTGTCAATATATTTTTTATACTATTACGTGTGTCATATGTTTTTTTTTCCGTATTCTTCTAACGCTTATCAACACAATTAAAATAAGAAAAAATACGTCAACACGCACGGAAGAGTAGAGGGAAGAAATAGGCATAATAAGAACAGGAAGAATCACTTTTTCATGCTGAATCTAGATTAGATTAGATTATCTGAGATCGTTTAGGCCATGCAACCACGACACACTTCAACTGATAAAGACCTTTTGTGCATAACTTAATCTAGTTGAACTCTGGGATGCCAATGAAAGCACAAAGAGCTATTTCTTTTGTCACTATTGTCCTTTAAATACTTTTGACTAGTGAGTTTAGAGCATTTAAAGTCGATTTGCCTGCCTGGTAGACAAATTGATATTTGTGAAGCGGTTTCTTTATTAGAGTATGTATTAGTCTAGTTTTTCCATTGTTTTTAGAAGGAAGGAGGTGAGGCATGTAAGACGATAAAACTTTGGTTTTTTACCACCACGTTTGCATTCCTCTTAAATTTTTAATGTGACTTATTACAAAGAAAAACACTTTACCATGGAAACAAGAGTAGAGGAAAGAAATAGGCATACAAAGAAGAACAGAAAGACGCACTTTTTCATGCTGAATCTAGATCAGATTATATGATATTGTTTAGGCCTTGCAGTCACACCGCTCTTCAACCTATAAAGATCTTTTGTACATAACTTAATCTAGTTAAACTCTAGGATGACAATACTTCTGACTAAGTTGATGAGCTTTTTAGGTGACTTGTTTCCTATATAAGAAAACGCTGGACTGACCTCTCATAGAAATTTTAGTCGTTTGCAGATCAATTGAGGGAGAATTGAGACAACAAATTGAACAATTGTTTCTGGTTGTAGTATTAACTGAATCCATTGTATTGGCGAGGATTCAATGCTTCTCTTTACTAGTGCTCTTTTTATGGATTCAAATGATGTATTATCGAATTCTCCCTTGATGTCAATGAAAACTCAAAGAGCTATTTCTTTTATCACTATTGTTTTTTCAATCCTTTCGACCAGTGAGTTCAGAGCATTTATATTGAATTCATCTGTCTGGTAGGCAAATTGATGTTTGTGAAGCAGTTTCCTCGTTAGTTTTGCTTCTTATACAATAATCTACTAGTTTCTTCATTTTTTTTGGGAAAAGGAGACAAGATATATGGGATAATAAGACTTTGGTTTTCCCGTAGGAGTTTTCTCGTTTTGGTATAAATAATACCTTTGTGCCCAAGGCTTGCTATAAAAAGCCGCTGTAGTTGTGACTGTATGTGCATGAAGCCTTTTTGGAGTAAAACAGGAAATATTCCGTCCTTACTAGAAGATTTAAAAGGTTTGAAGCTTTTAACAGTCCATTTGATTTTGTTTTTTGGAAAGATTTTTATCGCTGTTTGTCTGCTGGATCTGTTAAGAAACTTGTAGCATCCTACAGCTGAATACTTTGCAGATCATATTCTAGTATTTGTTAAATGGCAGAAAAATGAGTCCTTAACAGATGTATAATAGTTTCTACTAGGCTCTCAATATAATGAATCTCAAAATAATTTTCTACTTCAGAAGTTTAAGAATAGTGTTCTGCTTAAACATAACTTTTTACTGAACACTGTACTTGACGATAGTTTATGCTTTTCACATTTTTTAATATTAATGTTGCTATGAACTGACCTTTGAGCATCAGATCAGCATATTTTACGTGTCGCAAGTTTGTCTTAAATCAATGATCTATAAAAGACTCATAGACATGCAGTATTTAAATTATTTTTTAAAAAAGATAATTACAAACAGAAAAGATTTATTTTTCATGTTGAGAACGCCTATGAATAGCTGTTCTGATGATCTCTATTAGGGCGAAATACGTATAGACAGATACATAGACACTTTGACCTTGAAATCAAATCTTGACTGTCTTTTTCATTTTATTCGGATCTACTCTGTATTAGTACAAGAAACCAATTCGCTAAGGATTTCTGCTTAGTTGAGGAGACATGTCGTGGAATGAAAATTTTAGATTCCCCATGTCTCTATTAACATCTTTATCAACGTCTGTTTGCCTTGCAATTTTTAGAAGGTTTAGATTAAAGCAGAAATCTGTATTGGTTTCGAAACTATTTTACGGATTTATTATCAGATGTCGCTATTGCATCCATATCGAAGCCATTTTAGTGTTGCTTTTTTCAGACAGAAAATATTTGTTTTTTACGTTGAAAACGCCTATGAATAGTTGTTCTGATGAGCCCTATTAGGGCGAAACACGTGTAAACAGATACATAGACGCTTTGTACTTGAAATCAAATCTTGACAGTCTTTTTCAAAAAATAAAAAGTTTAAAATTTGTTGATAAATATTAGTTTAATAATGTTGCATTCTAATAATTTTATCTTTTTTTTTTTAAATACAGGTACAACTTCATTTTATGTTATGGCTTCAATGAAACCCGAATACAACGAGAAAATCATTCGTCACGTCAGCCTTGCGCCTGTGGGTTTTATGAACCATCTCAGCAGCCCTGTAATTCAGTTCGTAGCACTCAATACCCTTCCACTTGGAACACTGTTGCAGTTAATGGGACGTAATGAATTTATGCCCGAAGACGGCTTTCTTAATTTGTTTACCGATGTTTTTTGTTCGAATATTGGTGTGAATAAGGTAAGTTTTGTACCATAATTTTTGTCCATTTTATATATATATATATATATATATATATATATATATATACAGGGTGAGTCATGAGAGACTTTACATACTTCTACCATATGTAGAGTCCCTCAGGGAGCATATCATGTGGCCTCTAAAAAATGTCAACTCTGTTTCTTTATTAATTAACAGGGTGATTTGTGTAATTGACCATTTATTTAATTTTACTGTAGTGTTTATACGGCTCATTTGATTTTTTAAATTTTTGCATGATACAGTACACTACTATCAAGCATTCGACTGGTATTAGCTAAACTAAAAAATTCCAGGACTGGCTTTGGAAAAATTAATTTAGGGATTCGTATTAAATATTACACCCTGTATATATATATATTTTTTAGAATGCAATAAGTGATTTTCAAACTACATAAATAGCCAATGAAAACGACATATGCGACATTGTTGTCGCACTTTTATTAAATTTTTAGTGAACGATCAAATCTTACCAAAAATAGAACAACCATAATGAAGTATCAAATTATAAGATAATTAATTTAAACAAATGTTATAAATTTCAAACATTTTAATTGAAATGATAAACTGAGTCACTGCACAACAAAAAACAGTAACTACCAACAATAACGAAGAACAATTTAAAAAAAAAACTAAAAATATGTACATAGTTATGATAAACCCATAAATTAGAACTGGAAAAGATACAATAATGGTAACAAAATAAAAATAATTCAAAATAGATTTTCGAAATGGAACCCTGCAGCCTGTACACATTTTTGTTGCCGAATTGTTAATTGACGTATTGAATTATGGATACTCTGGGAATCGTTTCTAATAGTGTTACAACAATGTATAATTCTGTCAATTAATTGTTGTCGGTTATTAATATTCACTGCGTAAACTAGTTGCTTCAATCGTCCCCAAATATGGTAATCAACGGGATTAAAATCAGGGGATCTTGAAGGCCACGAAATAGGACCTGCACATCCTATCCACCTGTTGCCATAAACATTATTGAGATGTTGTCTCACTGCCAGTAAAAAGTGTGGGGGTGCCCCATCATGCTGAAAATACATCCCTCGGATAGCAACGTTCGCGTTGGCAAGCAAATTCGGTACAATATTTTGTAGAAAGTTCAAATAGACTTGCCCTGTTAAAGGACCATCAAAAAAGTGAGGACCTACTAATTGGTTATTTATGACACCAATCCACACGTTAACCGAAAACCTTAACTGAGAACGACGTTCTCAAATAGCATGGGGATTTTCTTCTGCCCGCACATGTAAATTTCGTGAATTATTTATCCCGTCTTTGGTAAATTGGGCTTCATCTGTAAATAGTGTCCTGTATAGCGTTGGTCGATTATTGTTAATCCATCTACAAAATTCCAACCTATCAATCTCATCTCCAGAATGTTGTCGCTGAAACATTTGAATGTGATATGGGTAGAGATTATTTTTTTGTAGACTCTACTTACTTTTGATTGAGTAACATTGAGTTCTCGACTTACTTGTTTAGTGCTTATTGTAGGGTTCATAGTAACGGCGTCCAGAATGTCATCTTCCTGCACTTCATCTGCATGTCGCTCTGTTGTTCCACTAGGAACAGTGCCATTTTCTCGCAAATAATTAAAAACTGACCCAAATGACTGGGAGTTCGACGATTAGGAAATTTCCTGCGATATTCTCTACTAGCAGCCCTACCATTCCCATTACAGAATCCATAAACAAATATAATATGTCTGCATATTCTGTGGTCGAAAGCTGATGTGGCATTTTGAACGAAAGTAACAAAAGCTCTACCAAAACTAACACAATGCACTTAACGTAGATATGACGGAAGAAATATGTATTCTTGTATACATAAATAACAATTGATAATGACAATAATGACAATGGGTATAAAATATCAAGAAACGTCAAGCGGTCAACGCCAACCTTCATTTTCAACTTTTTTAGATTAATTTTTATTTAGTACAGTTGATGCAATGTATTATTATTATTTGATATAAAATTTTAATCATTTACAATCAACAAAAACTAACACATACAAGAGGTTTGACTTTTAATCAATTTAATTTATTATTTATCGAAAATAATGCCCCAATACGATCTATGAGTAAAAATTTAAAATTGAAAAACAATTGATTCTCTCGTAGAGATAATACAAAGTGACAGTAAAGATGTTAATTTTCTACGTATTAGATTATGTTGTAGGAACTCATTTTAATTAAAATGTTTGAAATTTATAACATTTGTTTAAATTAATTCCTTATTAACTTGATACTTCATTATGGTTGTTCTATTTTTGGTAAGATTTGATCGTTCACTAAAAATTTAATAAAAGTGCGACAACATTGTCGCATATGTCGTTTTCATTGGCTATTTATGTAGTTTGAAAATCACTTATTGCATTTAAAAAAATATATATACAGGGTGTAATATTTAATACGAATCCCTAAATTAATTTTTCTACAGCCAGTCCTGGAATTTTTTAGTTTAGCTGATACCAGTCGAATGCTTGATAGTAGTGTACTGTATCATGCAAAAATTTAAAAAATCAAATGAGCCGTATAAACACTACAGTGGAATGAAATAAATGATCAATTACACAAATCACCCTATTAATTAATAAACAAGAGGAGTTGACATTTTTTAGTGGCCACATGATATGCTCCCTGAGGGACTCTACATATGGTAGAAGTATGTAAAGTTCCTCATGACTCACCCTGTATATATATTGCTTTTTACCTACTAAAAAAAACTGAAGGCCTGATGGTGTCACCACATCCCAAAAGTGATTAGGACTGAAGAGGAGGAGGATACTACTTTTAATCTTTCTCGATAATACCCTGTTGTTTCTTCCATTATATTGTTGTCTTCTTTCTAATATTTTGCTATGTCTTCTCTGTCCTTTCTTCCTCTGTCTTCTCTTCCATTGTGACTAGTCCACCTGGTGTTGGGATGTGTTCGTGTTCAATTCCCTTTTTTAGTAGTGTTGCTGTTCCTCCTGATATTACTCTATGATCCGTTCTATAGAAATCGTAGCCTGGAAATTTTGTTTTCTTCCTTTCCACTAGTTTGGTTTCTTGAAGGGCTACGATATCGAGCTCTAATCTGATTAATTCGTCCAGAAGGTTGATCTTTTTCAATATTCCGCCGGAATTCCATGACTGCGTAGATCCTCCGATTAATGTGCTAGCATTTGCGGACAGCCTTTCCAAATGCAGTCATCATCTTTGTCGCCTTATTTAACATGGAAATCATCTCCATCATCTTATTGTTATACTCCGTATGGAAGTTAGCAATAAGTGTGACCGCGTCTTAAACCGTTTGTGTGGACACGGAGGCTTCTTGGGTGGCTTCTGGGGTTTTCTTCACTGCTTGAGCATAGCTGACTGGTGCACTATTGACTGGTCTTCCTGCCGGTTTTATGGGGGCGGAAGACTTCCTATTTGGTGCCTTGGAGAATCCATGGTAAATGACCATGTGTGCCTGTTCGCAGTTAGCGCACTTGGGGTCTGTTTCCTTGCTTTTGCCGCAGTCATTACTTAAGTGGTTCTCCCCGCATTTCACACACCTGGAGCTGCAGTAAAAAGCCTTAGAGCTATGGTAGAACTCTTGACAGTTATAGCACTGTAGGGTATCTTTGGTGATTTTGAATTCGTCTTCTACGTAGATGCGCATATAACAGAGCTCTGTTATATTTTTTATATTTGCTACATCCTCCTCTTCCCGATCTTGATCAAAATATGTGCTGCCTTTTTATATACTTCGTGTTTGCAATTTCGTAGCAATCTTCCACCAAGAGGCCAATGACAACGCAGTTAATATTGCTATTTATGATTGGCCAGCCAGAGTGACAATCTGGTTGCGTCCTGATTGGTCACTTTTAGCGACACTTCCTTTGGTCAACTTCTTCTTCTTACGGTGCCTATCCGTTCCGAATATTGACGATCAACATGGCTATCCTAACTTTGCTTACTGCTATTCTGAATAGTCCGGTTGTCGATGTATTAAACCACTTTCTCAGGTTTTGAAGCCAAGATACTTTTCTTCTTCCTGCTCCTCTCTTTCCAAATACCTTGCCCTAAAGAATGAGTTGCAACAACTCGTATCTCTGTTTATTCCTCATAACATGGCCAAGATATTCTAGTTTGCGCTCTTTGATGGTGTTAATAATCTCGCATTCCTTGCCTATTCTACGTAGGACCTCAACATTGGTCACACGATCCACCCATGAAGTTCTTAAAATACGTCTGTGACACCTACCTAGTAAAATATATTTTAGAACATACGCAAAACGTGACACACACAGTCACACCTTTGTTTGTTTTAGATGAAAAAGTAGATCAGGTGTCACTTCAATAAACATTTTTAGATATACCGATTTCTAAATGTTTTGCATAAATAAACATTTACATTTGAGTAAATTATTTCTTTCAGAGATTAAACTTTAAAAATTATAAAGAAAATTATATATTTTATTTACATTAACTACATTAACGTGCTCTGCAACTATAGCCACTCACACGGATGCATTCACTGAGAATGTCAATTAGCTGCGTTTAGAGCATTTGGAGATTTTGCTGTCGTCATACTTCAGTGTATTAATGACATTCGGTAAGAATGTGTTTCACTGTTGAATATTGAATGTAAAGGCAACGGCATGTTTGGCAGATAGGATAGACATATGATGTCATTAGAGTGTGTAAGTTTAGTGTGCCTATAGGGATTCTTCGTATAATTTTAAGGTCTTGTCTAGATAGTCCCGTATGGCCAGTGTATAATGGCTAAAAGCTAATACAATGAGGGCTAGATTGCACGTAAGGATGGTTTTATTTAAGGAGCGCCAGTAGGCTTGCTATTATTTCCAGGTGAATATATACTTTTTTATGCAAATTTGGATTCGAGTTGTTGATGTGGTATCTGTTAAAGCCGTTTAAGTATGCTGATCTGCGAGTTAGTTGCCAGGTATGCCAATGTGGGACGGAATCCATATATAGGTAATCTTAATATTTAATTTAGATAGGAAATGATCGGTAAATAATTCCTGAGAAGCTAGAGAGTCTGTATAAATAGCAACATTTTTTTCGGTAGGTTAATATGCGTAACATCCTGTAAGACACTATACAATTTTGTAGTATGTACGCTGCACAAAAGAGAAATACAAGAAGTTCAAAAGAAATTGTTTTTAAAGATGACTAAAGACCCACCACCAAATCACTTTTGGAAGCCTTGGTGTATAATACTGGAACAAAGTGATTACTATATAGCATCATCATCATCATCTTGGTGCTACAGCTCTTAGAGGGCCTCGACCTTCTCAAGCTTTCTATGCCATTCTGTTCTGTCCCTTGCTTGCATTTTCCAGTTGCGGACTCAGATCTTCTCGGCATCTTGTGTTACCCCGTCCATCCACCTCAGCTTTGGTCTTTATTTTGGATCTTTTTTATTATGTTCGATTCAGGGGCCCGGGCTACATGTCCTGCCTACTGAAGGCGGTTTCGCTTAATTATAGTGGTAATCCCTTGACCACCAAACGTATGCTTGTAGATATTCTGCAATTCAAAGTTATATCTACGCCTCCATATTCCGTTTTCACAGACCGCTCCGAATATCTTGCGTAGCACCTTTCTGTCAAAAGATTATTGTATTTATAATTTCAAAAAATGCTTTTATCGTGAGTCCTTTGATATTTTGTATTTATTGAATTTTGTTCAATATATCTGAGTTTGAGGAGAGTGGATAATCCACGGAGGTATTGGAAGAAAGGGGATGGGATTTGTGAGTGTTACGCTGATGTTGTTTGTTGATATATGTAATTATGTAGCATAGGAAAGGAGAAGGTCTTGCTATCTAATCCAGAGTAGGGTTCATCAGCTCAAGACTTTCAGATATGCTGGAACGAAATGCATCTAGACAGAGTCGAATGGCTGTGTTATGGATAGAGTTTAAGGATTCCAGATCTCTCTTGGAAAAGGATTGTTAAGCGATGTTACCATAATCTAATTTAGAGAAAATCAGTGCTTTACATACTTTAAGTAGCGACTTTTCATCTGCACCCCAGTAATAATAAGACAGTGTTTTAAGAATATCCTAATCTTTTGTGACAGGATTTTTTTAATTTAAGAATACTCTACTTTCAAAACTTACTTCTCGAATGCGTCGAATCCATTCGACATGTGGTGTTACAGACGTAACAGCACATCTTTGGTCAACTATATACCAAATATTTGGTCTATAGTTGACCTACCTTTTTTGAAACCTCCTTAATCATACACTGTTGTTTTTTTCATTATACTGTTTAGCCTTTCTTCTAATATTTTGCAAACTTTGCCAAGTTGACGTGTGAATGACCCTTTTGATGGTTTTTTGGTTCTTAATTAATATTTCTTATTGTTACAGGCAATATGCAAGAACGTACTATTTCTAATGGCTGGATTTAATGAAGATCAAATAAACAACGATGACATCCCACTGATTATGACATATTACCCAGCTGGAGCGGCAACCCGTCAAATCATGCATTACGGACAAGAAGTCAATTCTCACAGATTCTGTAGGTACGATTATGGGCTTATGAAAAATAACAAACTTTACTCAGGCCGGCTTACACCACCAGATTATGAATTGAATAAAATCACGTCAAAAATTTATTTGATCTTCAGTAAAAACGACTGGTTATCATCTGATATAGATGTTGAAAGATTGGAGAATGCACTTCCAAATAAGGTGAAGATTGAGGCCCCGCTGAAAAATTGTAATCACCTTGATTACCTCTTTGGCAAAGATGCTCCAAGGCTAATCTACCCGTTAATCACCAAAATCCTTACAGAAAATTAATTAATGGTCTTTAGAAGCAAAGATTTTCAAACATTGTGTTGTTTTAATTTGTATTGTGAATTTTAAATATTTTTATAACAATTGTGATACTTACACATCAAAAACATTTTACTTCTGGTGTGAAAATTATGTATTTTATTAATAAAATTTATATTATTGAATTTGTAAAATGAAAAATTTTTTAGATATTGTTTCAAATAAATATTTTAAATCATTTTTAATTTGTGACTTTTATTCTTATATCCTTACCCACATAATTAGATCTAGCATAAACATGGCAGTAATAAATTGGTTTTTAAAAAAGATAAAAAAACAAAAATGCAGCAATAGGAACCAAAAAAGTCTTCTTCTTCTTCCTCTTCTTCTTTTTATATAGACATGACTCTGTCTGTTTTTTAATGTGTCTCCAGTAAGTGGTCGCTTCATCATTTTCGTTGCCTTCCTACTGATCGTTTTCCTACTGGGGAACAGTCTCTTGTCGTCTTAACTATTCTGTTTGTTGTCATTCGGCTTATATAATCGTTCCATTTTACTCTTTTATTTCTTACTCAGTTTTTGATATTTTTTACCTTGCATGTACGTCGTTATATCTGTACTTCTAGCTCTGTCCAATAGTGTCTACTACTACTACTAAAGATTTCCACAGTTTTCACTGTCTTCCTTCGCTCAACCGTTTTCTCCAATTGTCCCTGTCATTCCAGTCTCCATCTCGCGGGGTTCTTTTCTCCATAGCCTCATCGATTTCGTCTCTGAATGACCTTCGGGGTCTTCCTCTCTTTCTTCTTCCGATCGGGCTCTATTCTGTGATTTTGTTTATTTAGCGTCCTCTGCCCGCTCTTCTGACGTGGCCGTACCAGGATAGTCTCTTCTCTATATAGTCAATTATGACTGATTGCACTCCCATTCTCCGCTTAATCTCTGCGTTTTCAATTCTGTCTCTTTTTGTAAGTCCACAGCTTCTCCTCAGGAACTCCATTTCTTCGGCTCTTATTCTACCTCTATTTCTCTTGTTTATTGTGCAGTTTTCGGGCCCATATGTCAGAATAATTCTTGTCAGGGTATTAAATATTGTCTTTTTTGTCTTTATTGTAATGTTCTTATCCCACAGCACTGAATTTAGTTGTCTTATACAGTTTCTTGTTTGTCTTAGTCTGTTGTTTATATCTTCTTCTGTTGTTCCCTGGTTCGATATTATGGTTCCTAAATACTTGAATTTATCTGTTCCATTTACTTGTCTTCCCTGGTCTATCTCTAGGTTTCTCATATCCTTGTTTTCTGTTGTTAGGTATTCGGTTTTCTCTAAGTTTATTTCCATTCCGTTGTTTTTGTATTCTCCCTCTAGTTTTCTGAGCATAAAGCTGAGATCTTCCTCATCTTGTGCGATGACTACTTGATCGTCGGCAAAACTTAAGGTGTATAGGTATTCGTCTCTTACTGGTATGCCCATTCCTTCGCACTTTCTCCTCCATGGTTTGAGTGTCTTTTCCAAGAATATTTTAAACAGAGTAGCACAGCCTTGTAGAAGTCCTGTTGTCGTCTTAAATGGATTGTAGGCTTTATTTCTACATTTAATAGCTACTTTGTTTTCTTTGTATAGTGCTTTAACTGGTTTTATTAGTGTTTGTCGGATTCCGGAATCATTCATTGCTTCCCATAATTTGACTTTAGGTAATGAGTCGTATGCTTTCTTTAGATCAACAAACGCCAGATGGACCGGTCTATCTTTTGCCATTTTCTTCTCTATCAGTTGTTCTAATATGTACGTATAATCTAGGCATGATTTTCCTACTGTGAACCCTGCTTGGTCTTATCCAATTTTTCCTATTATAGTAATTAATAAATAGTATAATAGTGTCTTACCATCAATTTTCACCTCTGCTGTTTCTAACATCATTTTGTCCTCTATGTGTCAGGCCTTGTTTCTGCTGTGTATATCATTATTGGTTTGATGACTGTTCTGTAAATTCTGTCTTTTAGGCAGATGTATAGATATATATATATATATATATATATATATATATATATATATATATATATATATATATATATATTTATATTTATATAATATATATATATATATATATATTTATATATATATATATATATATATATATATATATATATATATATATATATATATATATAATATATATATATATATATATATATATATATATATATATATATATAGCGAGTGTTTGCAACTTTAATTTTGTCGCTTCTCGCATCCCAATCGCCATAATTTCTTATCGGCCCAGTCTCCTTCTTGAAGACCTCTATTTTCCATTTCTATATGAATATTGGATATCCATTTCTTTCTTGGCATTCCCCTTTTATTTCTCTGTGTAGGTCTCCAGTTCCAAACCTTTCGTGGTATCCTTTCTTCGTTCATCCGTCTCAGGTGTCCATACCATTTTAATTGTTTTTCGGCTATCGTATCCATTATTGTGTTCTTTACTTTCATTCTCTCTCTTATGTTTTCATTTCTTATGTGGTCAAACAAAGTTAACCCGGAACATCTTCTCCAGTACATCATTTCCGTTGAGAGGAGTTTTTGTGACATATTCTTGTTAAAGACCCACACTTCTGACCCATACGTCAGCACCAGCTGAATCATAGCCTGATATATATTTTTCTTTGTTTTCTTAGTTAAAGTTTTATTCCACAGGATCGGATGTAGTGTTTTTATCATGTTTTTTTCCTTTTCCTATTTTTCTTGTTATATCTTTGTCGTCTCTTCCGTCTTCGCTTAGTGTAACTCCGAGATATTCGTACTGATCAACGTTTTTAATTAATCCGCTTTCTGTTTCCATGTCTTGACCGATGCCTCCTATATTCATGTATTGTGTCTTTTCGGTATTAACCTCTAATCCCCATTTTTTGAATTCGTCTATTAGTTTGTTTATCATGTACGTCATATCTTGTAGGTCCTCGGCAAGAACTACCTGGTCGTCTGCGAAGAGGATTGTGTATATAGGAGTGTCATTTACCCATATGTTCATTGGGCTGCATTTTCTCATCCAATATTTTAAAGCATTACCAAGATATATTTTAAATAGGATTGGGGAGAGGCAAGAGCCCTGTTTGACACCCTTTGTTTGGGTGAAACCCTTGGAAATTTGGTTTCCAACCTTAATATAAGCTTGGTTGTCTTGATATAGCTTTTTCACGGCATTTATATATACTGCATTTATACCTGCGTTTTCCAATGTTGTCCATAGTCTCTGCAGTGGTACGGAGTCAAACGCTTTACGGAGATCTATAAAAGTGGCATGAAGTTCTAGTCCTCTTGCTAATCTCTTTTCTATTAGATGTTTGAGAGTAAGATAGTAGATTTATAGATATAGAAAAAATATTTTTATTTCTCCATATTGTTTCATTCATGCAGCCTGAGGCTTTGTTTGCTCTATTCACTTGACCTTCCACTTCTGGTTCGAGCTTTTCGTAGCTAGATAATGTGCTGCCTAGATATTTACACTCCATCACTTGTTTTATTATCTGACCTTCCAGCTCCAATTTACATCTTAGTTAATTTGCTGGTGTAACCATGCATTTTATCTTCTATGGGGAAATTAACGTGTTAAAATTTGTGGCGGTTATACTAAATTGGTGCAGCATTGTAAATCATCTTTGCTTTGAGACAGTAGTATTGCGTCGTCTGCATGGTAGATTATTTTAATTGTTTTTCTCCCATTTAACCAATAGGGTCGGTTAGTTCTTCTTGTACTTTTACTTTTATTGTGTTGTTTTGGAAGACATTTTCGATCGTTTTGATTATTCTTAAAGGTTTCTCTCCTGTGTATAGGAACTGGATAAAGTCTCTTAATTTGACCGGGTCTAATGCCTTCTTAAGGTCCACGAAACATAGATATGCTGGTTTGTTGTATTCTAATTGCAATTGTCTTATTATTAACTGAACCAACTAGAATATTTACAAACAAAAACGGTGTAATTTCACGATCGAAACTAGATAATTTTCTTACTATTTATAACTGGGAATAAGCCACATTAAAGATAAAAATACATTTATTGACGTTTCAATTTCCAATTCGGAAATCGTTCTCAAAATACAAATAGTAAATTAAACAAATTTTGTTTTTTGTTACATAGTGAAAAAATTCTTCTGATAATTTAATTTTATCTGACTCATTTATATTGACAATTCAGACATACATTATGCATTTTAAAGTAGACGACTTTAAAATGATATTGCCAATATTGTTGAGTTGCGCTCCTGGGACGACTTTACTTATAAGATAGTTCATTCGATTACATGAAATCAACTTTAACTTGAGAATATCCGTCAGAAAAAATCATAGCATGTAATTCGTCTTTAAAAAGACAAACACATGACATGATGACAGTAAAATTCTCCTGTTAGTGATTCCATAGTAAATTATGAGGGAAAAAACCAGGAAAAAAACCTCATAATACTATCCCGACATTGTAAGTATTTGTTCGTGAATTTAGTTTATCTTCAACAAACATCAAAATTCTGATTTTATGTTACGTTATTTAAAAAACATAAATGATGTATCCTCTATATGTTACTGACTTACTAATACTGGTATTTTCTTATTAATAACTTCCTCTTTCAATATTGGTAACCAGATCCTACTACATTCTGCCGAGGAATTGGCGACACAATTGGCCTCATTTAGCATAATTAGAGCCGCTTCTTTGATTTTTCTTTTTTTACCATCCGTTTCTTTTAGGACTATATTTGAATTATTCCATTGAACTCTATGTTCATTATCCCATGTTCATTTAAAATAGCTTCAGAACAATATTAGATAATTTTCTTACCAATATTCCTCAATTATACAATGAGGTTATCGTGAACTACAATTTAGGTGATCATCTAGAACTTCATTTTAGTTTAAACATATCTGAGAATAGCAATACTGCTATATCTAAGATAGCTACTTATAGAAACTTATCAAAGAATTGTTTGTTTAATTTTTTGTTGAGTCTTGATTCTGAGAATTTTAAAAATGTTTATACATATTCAAATGATGTAGATGATATATATAGAGCTTTTTTGAACTCTGTCTCCTATTATATTGATACAACATGTCCTTTAATATCAAAACGCATAACTACTAATACCAACAGAAAATGGATCAATACTGAAATTCTTCAGCTTAGTAAAAAGCTGAAAGATTTATTTTAGCTAGCAAATGTTAGTGGTAATGCAGATTTAATGTATAACTATAAAATA